CGGGGTTGCGGTCTGGATAGCACTTCCGACGCTCGGCAAATCGATGTACTTTTGTTTACAATGGGTAGTAGAAGTGAAGATATTTTCGATTCGTTTTCACCAAAACCTAATACTTATGACGAGGCTCTTCGGGCCTTTGATGAATACTTTGTGCCAAGACGGAATATAATTTATGAGAGATCAAAATTTTTGAGACACAAGCAAGGGAGTGATTCATCTGAAAAAATTATAACAGATTTGCATGGCCTTGCGAAAACGTGTGCATGGGGTGAACTAAACGATGAGATGATGCTTCTCGTCCTCATTACTGGTATGAAAGATGAGGCTCTAAGTGATAGACTCCAGCTGGACTCTCAATTGACTCTGGAGAAAGCAATTAATACCTTGCGCCAACATGAGGAGCTAGAACGCCAAAAACGTGAACTCGCCAATACTAATGGTTTTTTGGTAAATAAAACGTCAGTTCAAGTCGGTAAACCGAATCGGACTGAAGGAATTTGTGACCAGAAATACATCGAGGATGCAGAAAATACAAAGAAGTGTAGGAAATGTGGTTATAATTGGCAAGGATCACTGGCCGAATGTCCTGCTAGGAAAGCCAAATGTGACAAATGTTCCGAGATTGGATATTTTTTTCGATGCTGTCCCTCCCGCGAAAAGTGGATGAGAAAAAACAAAAACGTCGTTAAAGAAATCGAACAGCAAGTTTCAGACTGTGGAGATCTACAGGTTCCTGACATTTTCATCGGGAATATAGAAAACAATGACCGAGCCTGGGCCCAGGAGGTAAAAGCAAGCTGTGGAAACCAAGTGTTAGGGCTTATAAAATTTAAACTTGACACAGCCGCTGATGTAACCATGATTCCAGTACGAGTTCTTGGTGATTTTATTAAGACTCTGCCTCTAGGAAAGTGCAAATCCCCTGTGTTCAGTGCAAAGAAGAAAGAACGAATCAATATTTTGGGAACTTTAAGGCTGAAGCTTGAACATAAGGGTGTATCGGTTTATGATCATGCGTATATTTCTGAGGAGATCACTGTTCCACTTCTTAGCAGACGTTCCTGTGAAGAGCTGAACCTGGTGAAGAGGATCTTTTCTGTAGATTCATCAGATATTGACTGGGTTACTAAGTACCCTAATTTATTTCAAGGATTGGGAAATATGAAAGGAGAGTACAAGATAGAAATGAAGGAGAATGCAGTTCCTTATGCTATATCTACCTCAGGGTTGTACCAATACCTTTAAAAAGCAAGGTGAAAGAGCAGTTAGACGTTATGCTTGAGAAAGGAATGATTGTCCCAGTTAAAAACGCGACTGATTGGTCGCACCAATGGTAGTTTGCGCAAAAAAGAGAGGTGGGGTTACGATCTGCGTGGACCTATCCAAACTCAACAACAGTGTGAAACGTCGGTTTTATCCTATTCCAAAGATTGGACTTTCATTGTTCGAGATCGCGGGAGCCAAGTACTTCAGCAAGATCGATGCGAATTCCGGTTTCTGGCAACTGAACCTTGCAGAGGAGTCACAAGATTACACAACATTTATCACCCCTTTCGGGAGGTATAATTTCTGTAAGTTACCTTTTGGAATTACATCCGCTCATGAAGAGTTTCAGCGCCGTATGTCAAAAGCTTTAGAAGGGGCAAAGAACTGTTTAGTGCACATTGATGACTGTTTGATATGGGGAAGAACGAAAGAGGAACACAACGAGTGTCTTAGAGCCGTTCTAGAGAGAGTGCAAGCTAATGGAATCACTTTGAATAAGCAGAAGTCTGAGTTCTGCAAGAAGACTGTGACATTTTTGGGGTTTGTGCTGTCTAAGGAAGGAATCAAGCCTGATCCAAGCAAGGTACAAGCAGTTGTGGACTTACCAGCCTCAAGTAATGCTAATGAAGTCCAAAGATTCATGGGCATGATCACTTTTCTGGCTAAATTTATTCCGAACTGCAGTGAGATTTTAGAGCCAATTACGAGCTTGTTAAAGACTAAAAACAATTTCTTTTGGGGACCAACTCAGGAAAAAGCTTTTGTCACAGTTAAACAGATTTTATCATCAGAGCCATGTTTGACTGTTTACAATCCGGAAAAGCCCTCGATTCTTTCTTGTGATGCTTCAAAAAAAGGTCTTGGAGCAGTTTTACTACAAGTTGAAGGAGAAAACAAGAAGCCTGTGGCATATATATCTCGGACTCTAACGCCTGCTGAAGAAAACTACAGTAACATTGAGAGAGAAGCGCTTGCGTGCACATGGGCAAGTGACCGTTTAAAATGTTTCTTGATGGGTAAAATGTACACAATTGAGAGCGACCACAAACCGCCTGTCTCAATTTTCAAAAGACAAAATTTAGACGAGCTCTCACCGAGGCTACAGCGATTCCGAATGCGTATGATGAGATACGATTATCGCATGACCTGGACCCCAGAAAAAGACCTTGCCATAGCAGATCTACTATCGAGAAGTCCTATTCCGGCTAATGAAGATGGCGAATTGACAGAAGAAGTGGAGGCCTTCGTCCACGAAATCAGTCTGATTAGTATAAACACTACAAACAAAAATGTGACAAAAGTACTTCACTCACAAATGAGGGATCCAATATGTGCACAACTTAAGTTAACAATTTTAGACGAATGCCCTGGAAAATCAAGTTTACCTAATGAGATTCAAGAATACAACGTGAATGACGAGTTAAGTTGTATTGATGGGTTATTGCTTCGAGGAACTCGGATGACCTCAGGAACTACGAGCGGAAATGCTCGAGAGGCTTCACAGTGGACACTTGGGAATCACAAAAACAAGGAAACGTGCTTTGGGAACCATGTGGTGGCCTGGAATTTCTCAAGAAATAGAAAGAAAAATCAAATCGTGTCCAGTGTGTATTCAGAACTCAACTAATCACAGTGAACCATTGATTCCAGAACTTATGTTTGGAAGGAAAATAAGAGACAATCTTCCATCTACTTTGGTTGGAAATCCTGTGGAAAATAAAGACCTTTTTGAGAGGGAGAATAAGTAGGCCTACCAGTTGAAATATAAGATGCAATTTGATAAACGACATGGAGCGAGTGGTTTAGGTGAATTAGAAGTTGGAAGCATGGTATGGATCACAGATCTACGTAGACATGGTAAAGTAGTCAGGAAATTGAACGAACCACGTTCCTACCTTGTGGACACTGACAAGAGAACCATTCGACGAAACCGGAAGTTCTTAGTTCCTGCACCATACTACGGAGAAGATTGTATTCTTTCAAACTGTTCATCTACGGTCCTTAAATGTCCATCTAACTCACGTGATCGTCCAGGCACAGTTACCCGTTACGGAAGTTCCATCAAGATACCGAGGCGGTACTGAGCTTCATGAAGATGTAGACATCTTGAGGCGGGATGTTGTATTAAGTCTTTTCTTTTAGTCATATGATTTATTTGTGTTTAGCCCTCCGAGTGTCCATAGTTTAGGCCTTAATGTCCACCTATTTTTGGCCCCTTTGCAAGGTTTTATTAAAACGGATCTGAGAAGCTTAAAACAATGTTAATTCTAATGTTCTATATACCATTTTGTTTGGAAAATCATGGGCTTCAATATTATATATAAAACATAAGGAACATTTAAAAAAAAAAAAAAAATTTTAGGTAAAAAAAAATATAATTTCGAAAATTTTTAAAAAAAAAATAAGTTTGCGCTCAATGAAATTGTATAAATTATAGGCCTATAAATATTTGAAAATAGCCACTTTGTTCTAAATTTAATGAGGATTACGAATATATAATCATATAGCGAGGTAAGTTATCAAATAAATAAGTTATGAGCGAAAAACGGATTTCAGTACATAGCGTTTAGCTAAGAATGCATAGCCTAACCATAGCTAGGAATCTGGCTGATAATTTACATCAATATCACTACCTACTTCTTCAGGATCATCAACCAGCACTTCAAAACCACTTAAATCTTCTTATAATGCACCACGTATATCACTACTTTTGATTTTTAACACTAAAACAATGATAAACGTAATAAAACACATCAGTCATCGGTCCGGGGGAACCTAGCTGTTTACAAATACACGCACGTCAGCTGTCTGCTACAATATTTTCGGAACTAAAATGAATAGCGCTTAGAGACAGACCTCTGGAGAAAGCTTAGAATATTACGGAAAGAACGATACCTAACTCGATCCAGTTCAATCCGATTCAGTCAGTCATAGAGCCTTCGCCGTAAACGATGTTTGTGCGTCTTAAAAGCGACGCGTGACCCTACACAAAGTGTGTTGTGCGTCGTTTTTATGACGCGTGACACTCGGAGGGTTAAATATCTTTTGTTGACAGATGACTTGTGTAAACATGTTTTTGTAAACATTGGTTTAGTTTTGAAATAGAGTTTGTTGAAACAAGATGTGTGTTTAATATTCTTGGATTAGAAATAGAACATTAACATTGTTTTCAAGCTTCTCAGATCCGTTTTAATAAAACCTTGCAAATGAGCAAAAAATAGGCAGACATTAAGGCCAAAACAAGGGACACTCGGAGGGTTAACTGGGCTAAGTTAGGCCTACACTAATATTGATTGAAACTAACTTATTGTTCGGTTAGTAAACCTTCATGCAATTTTTTCACCATCAGCAAGATTGGTTGGTTAGGTTAGGTTATGATAGTTTAATTTTAGGCTATAATAGATATATTTTAAAATATCGATTGTTAATCAATATTTTCAATTGGATAGTTTCAATAAATATTAGCGTAGCCCAGTTAAGAAACTGTACCCATTTTTGATTAATAAGTTAATAGCTATTTTTAACTAGGCCTATTTCAGTTGTACTTAAAATTAAACTGTCATAAGCTAACCTAACTAACCAAACTTGCTGATAAGAAAAAATAAAATGAAGGTTTTCTAAGTTAATCAATCATCGATTGTAGACCAGTTAAGAAACTGAATCCCTAACTTAAATAACTTGTGTTTTAATGTATCTTTAAAGAATATAAAATTCTATATAATTTGACTACTTACTCAACAAAACAGCACAACTGTACTCCACTGACCTGTTTGTTTCTGTTTAGTAAAATTCAATTGTCCAATTCCAATTAAGTTTATATGTATTTAGAGGTTATATCTCAGGACATGGCAAATTTTTTAAAATAATTCTTAGAAATATTGGTCATTCGACTGGTATTATGTTTCTACGAGTTGTTTTCATTTCCTTAGTTTATCGGATTTCATTTAATTCAATTAAACTTCGAAAAACGATAGCCAACAGCAACGTCAGACATCGAAAGAACAACGGGTCTGACTTAGGGGAGGTACGAATGAGGCATTTAGTTCAAAATTCCTCCGTGAACAGCGCTGTAGTAGAGAGCACTTTGGCAATGAAGGTTTACTAATCGCAAAAATAGTTCTGTTCATAAAATAAAATTATAAATGTCTCAAATTCAATTTTATAATTTTTTAATTATAAAATTAAACTATCATAACCTAACCGAACTAACCAAACTTGCTGATAAAGAAATAATATAACAAAAGTTTAGTAATCGGAAAAATAATTCTGTTTATTAAATAAAACTAGAATTTGCTAAATTAAAATTTTATAATGACTTAATAATAAAATTAAACTGTAATAACCGAACCAAACCAACCAAACTTGCTGATAATAAAAAAATCTTGGACAAAAAGTTAATGCTACCAGCAGGATTCGAACCCGGGACCTACAGTATATCAGCATCAGCCCGGTACGCTAACCATTAGACCACCGAGGCCGACGGCTATCGACAGTTTTGTTACGGTAATGGCGTTCCCTCAGCTAATAAGAAGCCCACAGCTGTCATCGTAGCCTCTTCTATACCTCCCCTGAGTAAATACCAAGAACAACTGAACAACAAAAAAACAACCACAACAAACGTAAACAAACGGAACGAATCAAATCAATATAAATAAATACCCCCGCCGCAGCAAACCTGCAGACTAAGCGAATTTCCATTTGACTGATTAGATTTACACTAAAATGTCTACTTAAAAATATAACATTTATTCCCTATTTAAATAGAATTAGTTTAACAAGTACTTAGGTTTGCTGCATCAGGGAGGGTAAAACTGTATTTTTTTTTTGTAAAATGTTAATAGGTAGTTAGTAAGAAATAAAAACAAATTTGATCAAAATATGTTCATAAACAAGCAAACTACAACCGTTTACTTATTCTCCATAAGAATAACATTGGAATTTAAAATTTACAATTTTTTTGGAATTTTCTCCGTAACCATTAGGCGTATAACAACGCTTGAATATACTAAATTATTTGTTTTTTTAAGCTCTACAAAATGATTTGGAAATAAATTGCTAAATTTTATGTTTTTTGGGTCAAAAATGGGAAAACCCTATTTTTACCCCATAAAACCCCCCGTAAACCCCCGTTCCCATGGTCCGATCATGCTGGATCGCGAACTCGTTCGAATAAACGTAGGTTTACACGTTTGTACCAAATTTCATCAAAATCGGATCATTTTTGCTCGAGTTATCGTGCTAACGGACACACACACACACACACATATATATATATATATATGAATTCAAACGGATGGTGTTTTTGGCCTCTAGGGACCTCAAAACGAAAAAAAATCGGTCCCGCGTAAAGGTCTTACCATGAGTACTACGGTAATAGCTTATTCCCTATATGGGAAATTCGCTAAAAGTCAATCACATGTCTCAATTTTTTTTAATTTTTTTTTTAACTTTATCTATTACTAGTGTACCTGTTGCTCGAATTCGAGCAATTGCGAAGCATTACAGGCGTTATTTTAAAACAAATAACAGTCATAATTTCCGATGACTTTATAAGAGCCGACTCAAAGATTATGGAAATACTCAAGATGTACACAGCAGTTAGGTATAATCAAAATCTTTTGTGAATATCTTATCTTTTTTCAAAAGCTGACCTTGTTTTTTAGTGTTTTCTACAAATTTTCCCCACTCATAGCCGCATTAGGTTGTCTATAATAACGATTATAAATGAAAAAAAAACATAATTTCTATTTCTTCTACTGTACTTGGTTGTGTTCTATGACTTTACTTTTTCCATTGTTTGCAAATAGGCTCTTTCAATTATTGCTCAAGAAATGTAGCACAGTGAGTTTTATTTTTAGTATATCAAATTGTCCAGTATTTCTCACTTTTTCCCATTGTAATTTTAAAAATGACACCAACCATCGTCTACTACAGATGCAATACGCCAAAGAATATCGTCTACGTGCAATCTCCAAGAAGTGGTAAAAAAGGCAGAAACCAACCCATACAATAGATATAAGTTAACTCCATAAGAAATAATTTTAAGAGTTACTGTGATATTAGGATTTTCCACTAAATTGGTAATCGAACATTATATTGCAAAACATATCATGATTCAGAAGAAAATTGATTTTTAAATCAGAAAAAACCCAATTCAAATACTTCATTTTGACAAATTTAGTAAATCACAATTTAAATATTAACAGCTGTTTCATTCAAAAGTAGTGTAAATGTATGCATATGGTCGTAATGTAAACAAATCTGAAGAGGGAACTTTAAAGACCTCTGGGGCAGAGCCCCAAGGGAATTTACCTTGTTTCTCTTTTGATGGCTCATCTACAGACTAAGACCTTTCTTTAGAGACCCCTACCAAGTTTCTACGCCCAGCCGTTCTCTGTAATTAGCTGTGACAAAACCCCGTTTTTCCACCATAAGAATAACATGGGATGGGAATTTAAAGGCCACTGGGGGCGGGGCAGAGCGCCAAGGGAATTTTACCACGTTTCTCTTTTGATGGCTCATCTACAGACCAAGACCTTTCTTTAGAGACCCCTACCGAGTTTCTACACCCAGCCGTTCTCTCAAATTAGCTGTCACAAAGAAAAACAGTTTCAAATCAATATAGATATTAATTTACCAGGCCATAAAATATCTTGGAGTATGGCTGGACAAAAAACTTAATTGGAACTACCACGTTAATCAAAAACTGTCCCAAGGTTATGCACGCCTTGCAAAGCTTTTCCCTTTAATCAATAGGAAATCTACTCTGAAGCCAGCTTGTACAGTTCTAATCTATAAGACTTATAATTATAAAGTGATACAATCAAATTTTATGTAAACGGTTAAGGTCATTTACCAAATAAAAATATAGGCATATGGCACATCAAAATGAAGCTTAGAGTGTGTAGATTTGCCGAAAAGTATTGATATGGACGAATTTCCTATGGGCTCTGCCCCACAGGCGGAAAACGGGCTACGCCTGGCATGCTTTCAATTTTTAATTGATTTAATTTAGTTAATGAAACAGCTGGTCAGTACAATGAACTGGTGTTTGTTTATTTACTAGAAAAAGATGTTTTGTGAGCTATGTAGATTGAGGAGGGCTATGTTTGGTTTTAAAGTGAGGTTGTATACGTTTTGTAAAGTATTGATGAAAGTTTCATTTTTTTATTTAAGAGTAAGCTACATGTCAAGAGGCTTGACTAAAATTGAAGAATTATGGTAAAAACATGTCATTTATGAAGCAATTGATGCTATTGCTACACTAAGGTATGTTGTCATATTCTTAGGGATCTATTAAGTAGGGGTTTAAAAGTAAGTAGGTTTACGCTTTTAAATCAGTTTAAATTTTCAAACGAAATCATAGAGTTGCTGTATTTTTAAAACACACATCAGCACAACTTTAATAGCTACACGATTACTAGAAAAATACGGTCACATGTTCTTCCCGTTGCAAAGCACGGGTATAGCAGCTTGTTTTATTTTACAATCTGTTCAAGTGTTCAGTACTATGACTGTGACCAATTAGTAAACGCATTGACTTTATATCTACACAGATATAAAGTCAATGGTAAGAGGGAATATAAATAAGTGACTTGACCAAGAATCTCCCCAGCGAAAGATCTTGCAAAATTAAATAGTGTTGTCAAGGAGACCTTGCCGTCAGACCGTCACCGCCTTTTTTTTTTTTTTTTTTTTTTTTGCAGCATCATTTATTTCTGGTTCAATGTAGACATTATACACAGAAGTGTTAACAAAATTAATAAGAAATTAACTATAATAACATCGTGGGTTCGCCCAAACCTGAGTCACCCTGTAACATAATTAATTTAGAGAATAATTTAATCTTCTTTAGGCTTCATTCCTCCAATAGATCTTGAGGGAGCCTTCGACGTAGCCTCCTGTTCTCAGTTGCTTCACCAAGATGAAAAGTTAATGCACCAGGAACATCGTTTAAAGATTTTAGAAATTTTGAGGTGGTTTTTTCAATAAAGGCCGAGATAGACTCCACTCCTAGTTCTTCATGTATATGCCTGTTTCTAACAAACCAGGGAGCACTCACCGCTATTCTTAGAATTTTGTTTTGAATCACTTGAATTTTGAAGAGTTTGTTTTTTGATATAGCTAATCTCCAGATAGGAGATACATATGTAATCAAGGGCCGAATTATTGATTTATAGATTAGAACTGTACAAGCTGGCTTCAGAGTAGATTTCCTATTGAAAAGGGAAAAGCTTTGCAAGGCGTGCATAACCTTGGGACAGTTTTTGATTAACGTGGTAGTTCCAATTAAGTTTTTTGTCCAGCCATACTCCAAGATATTTTATGGCCTGGTCATCAGGGTTCCAAGGTAGAAAGTTACCATATATTTGAATTTCATATGGCAATGTATGTTTTTTCCAAGAAGAATATTTTGGTTTCACATTTTGTTGAATTTAGGCGAAATTTTTTTCGTCTGTCTAGAAACGGGACAGCGGAATTTGAAATCGGAACGACGCTTCCCCCACTACTGCGCTGTGCCGAACGCTTCCGAATCTTACCGAGCAGTGCCGAACTTGAACGTCAAATTCAATGCTGTCTGTCGCGTGGTGTACTTCATCGTTTATTGGCTTGTCTTGTCAACAATGAATGTATGCCAGTTTTGTAATAAGAGTTTTGTTAATCGGTGGGTTTTGTCTCGACACCTTCGTGAAATACAAGAATTCATTGAGGGCGAAAAGTATAAGTATAAGTAAAAAATAAGTACTCATACTGTGAGTACTTACTAAGGTTTTATTAAAACGGATCTGAGAAGCTTAAAACAATGTTAATTCTACTGTTCTATATACCATTTTGTTTGGAAAATCATGGGCTTCAATATTATACATAAAACATAAGAAACATTTGTTTCAAAAAAATTTTTTTAGGTAAAAAAAAATATTTTGGAAAATTAAAAAAAAAATAAGTTTGCGCTCAATGAAATTGTATAAATTATAGGCATATAA